ACCATTTCAGCATCTCGCCGCTTCTAGGTAGAAAATTGTTTTCTTCAGCCACATCATCACAGTTCTCGTTGAAATGCAATCAATTGAACAAACAAACTCTTCGAAGATAACCTATGTTACGTCATAATCATTGTTTTCGTCATCTTAGCTAGTTTTATTATTTTTTTAAAATTAACTTTGTTGGTTGGTGTCAATATTGTACAATGGTTATAACTCAGTTACAAAATACCCAAACAAGCCAACAACATAACGAACACTTGATGTTTGTACAATAAGCGTCGTCAATAGTTCTGATGAAACCATTTGATCGGCCATTTTAAAACTAGTTGAGACGTGATAAAAATTCGCTCACGATTTTTACAAAATTTGTTTTAATGTTTCTTATTTAAAATTTTTTCAACAATCAATCAATTCTGCGACAAAAATAATTTACAGACCGAAAAAGTTAAAAAAAAGGAAGGAAACCTGAAATATAGAAAAATTCACGTTCCATGTAGCCTAATTGCACGCAGTATACAAATTTTTAGAGATACAAACATGGATATATATAATATATTTATATCCATGGATACAAACACGTATTTTTATTTTTACAAAAATCTAGAATGATTTTTTTTTAATTTAAAAAAAAATTTTGTTAAAAGATATCTACAACATTTTAGTCGCAAGACATTAATCAACCTTTAAACAATATACGATCAATTTTTCACACCAGCTTGAACTGATTTGCAAGTGTTATATATTTATTCATATAAATGATTTATATACATCTGCATATATCCTATTCAAACGCAAAGCTCCATATGAACATCCTATAAACTGCAATTAACTATTTAATCTCGACAGCAAGAAGAGTTGTTCGTTATATTACAACGTACTTGTTTGTCTATAACGTATTTGATTGCTTAAAACGTAGTTGGCCGTTTATAATGTATCTGAATCAGTGTTTGATAATAATTTGTACGTTGAATATCATTCAACATTTTGAGGCAGCTCCAGGTTTTTAGCATTTTAATAATTTGAATTATTTGAATTTAATAAAGGTTTTGATAGCAAACTAGCAAAAACACTGATAAAAATTTGCTCACGATTTTTACAAAACTTGTTTTAATATTTTGTTAATTTCAAAATTTTTCAACAAATTGAAATATAAACCAATTCTGTGACAAAAATAATTTGCAGACCGAAAAAGTTAAAAAATTTGGAATAAAAATTGAAATATAGAAAAAATTCACGTTTCATGTAATTGCACGCAGTATACAAATTTTTAAAGATACAAACAAGTATTTCTATTTTTTTAAAAATCATTCTAATCTACAATATTTTAGTCGCAAGACATTAATCAACCTTTAAACAATATTGGATCAATTTTTCATACCAGCTTGAACTGATTTGCAAGTGTTATATATTTATTAATAAATGTGATTTATGTACATCTGCATCCTATTCAAGATCCATGTGAACATCCTTTAAACTGCAATTAACTATTTAATCTCGACAGCAAGAAGAGTTGTTCGTTATATTACAACGTACTTGTTTGTCTATAACGTATTTGATTGCTTAAAACGTAGTTGGCCGTTTATAATGTATCTGAATCAGTGTTTGATAATAATTTGTACGTTGAATATCATTCAACATTTTGAGGCAGCTCCAG